AAGATGGAATGCGTTATTGACTTAAAGACACTTCGAGAAGAAATCCAATTGAACAATGTCTATGCTTTTGTAGCAGGACTTGATGACATATTTGATAAGATACATAGTGATATTTTGAGAACACAACCTTTACCATCCGTCGAGGAAGTGTTTTATGTTGTTAGCCCATAAACACAACGCCATGTTACTATGATGGGAGAAAGTAACATAAATAATCAAGGAAGAACCCCAACACCCTCCGTGGCTATGGTGTCACGACCACCTTCTTCTGGCTTGTCTTATGGCTCGTTGTCTTCAACAAATTCTTGCCCATTTACTCGAAAAAATAAAGATGATTTGAAGTGTACTTTCTATGGTCAAACCCGTCATACGGAAGATACATGTTTTGAAAAACATGGAATTCTGATAGGAGCATTTTTATGCGACTTAATTGGCTTGTTCTCATGCATTTATGTTATTTTTCCTTAGTTAGTTTAGTGTTTAAAGTCATTTTCGTGCAATTTCAGGTTTTATTGTCAAAGTATGCAAAAAGGAGCAATTTGGAACATTCTAGAGCATTTTTGGGCCAAGATTGGATTGTGCAAGCATGGAGGCATGAGGAGGGACGAATTTGAAGACAAAAGAGGCTATGAACATGCTAAAAATCTGGTGAAACAAATACAAGTTGCAAGAAGGGATAAATTTCTAGAAGGATTGACCAAAACTTCACTCAAAACCAAGCAATTCTTCAATGCCGTGGGCATTGATTCACTTTCACCAGAAATTTGAGTGATAATGCAATGCTTAAATCACCATGACATGTGAGTGGATGATGCAATGCTTAACTCACCATGACATGTGAATGGATGACTCAATACCTAACCCACCAACAATTCCCACTCTTGCCGTGCTCACCTACTCAATTCCACCAGAATTTTGTGTTAAACAAGTCCATCCTTTTCCTATAAATACCATGGCAGCAACCTCATTCAAATGATCCAGAAATTAACCATTCTCCAAGCCTTGCCTTGCCTCTCCCTACATATCTAAACTCCTTCCCATCCGTTCCTCCACATAACCAACCCTTCAAAACATCACTCCAACCTTGTGTTGCAACAAAGAAGAAGAGGAAAGTTCTTGTACGTGCTTGCTATCCAACATGGATCGTTGGAACGTTTAGGTGTTTTCTTTCTTTTGTTTTCAATGTATAATTCTATTTATCTTTGTTTTGTGAACATGAGGAGCTAAACCCCTATTTAGTTAGGGGGAAGTTTGAAGCCATGAACATGCTTGTGATATGAATTGATTTCTTCCAATTGTGATTTGATAAGTTGTGATTGCAATTCAATTATCTATTTTCTTCATAACTGATTCTTGTATGTTTATTAAGGATGCATACTTAGTTTTCATACATGAATTAGATGCTAGAATATAAATGAGTTTCACCTAATTGTTACAAGTTTATATTCATGAGTAGTGAAGGTTGCTTGTCACAATCGCGTTAATTGAATTCTTGACAAACGTATCATGCATTCATAGTTACAATTGCCTCGTCAACACTTATGATTTTCATTGAACGTAATGATCTCTGATTGTATCTCTATTATGCATTCATATAGGGGACTTTTAGAGAATAATTTGGATTGTCGCATGCATTCATCCAATTCAATAAGTAAAGGAAAAATCTGAGGGTTAATTTGTGCATCACGGTCAATCTGGGGTGTTGAGCATCATAGTTTATTGAAAAGCAATTGGAAATCGATTCATGTACAAGTGTGTCATGTGTGAAGAACGGACCTCTAACTAATCCATCCATCATCTTATTTCTCAAATTCGTTTTATAATCTGCCTACTTAAAAATCTATTTAAGTTTTAGTTTATTTGTTTTACTTTCAACTTCACCAAACCCAAATCCCCCTTTTACTTTCTTGTTTTAAAAGTCTTTGGTTTACATTTTTAACTTTGTTTCTTTTTGTTTTTGAGTCAGTTTAGAGGTTTTAGCAAGCCCTCCTAATCCCCGGTTTAGAACGATACCCTACTTACATCTATACTACAATTGTCAAAAAGAGGGTTTAATTTGTGTGCTTATAATATTTCGCATCAAATTCCTGAATGGTTCCCAAAATTGAAGAGAAAATTACATGCAAAAGAACGAGCTGTTAATGGAGCAAGTGGGAGCCGTGCATCCATAGTTGTTGCTGCACCTGCTAACAAGGAAGTCGTGCCCACTCAAGGAGATCCGAGTCAGACTTTGTTGACTAGGACAAATCCTAGTGAATCATCATCCAATACAGGTACCGTTGGACGTGTTCTTTTAGCCTCCGACATTGAGCATCATACATGTTGGATTTTGGAATTTGGTGTAACTGATCATATGACATTCAATAAAAATTTATTTACGTGTATGACAACAACTCATCAACAGCGTGTAGCAACGGCGAATGACACCACTGCTAAGGATATTGGGGCCGGCACTGTGGACCTCACGCTGTTCCTCTCCCTTCACCACTGCTTACTTGTTCCACTATTCTTTCATCATTTATTATCTATCCCTCAAGTTACTGAGTAATTGGACTGTGTTGTACTTATGTATCCGTTTTTTTGTTTGTTTACTTTAGGATATTCAGACCAAGGAGATAATTGGGTGTGGCACTAAGAGAGAGGGGTTATATTATGTGGATGACATCGTTCCTGGTAGGGCTAATGCAGTTCAAGCATCTCGTACTAGTAATCTGCAAAAAGTTTGGTTATTGCATCGTCGGTTAGAACATGCTTCGTTTGGTTATTTAAGGCATATGTTGCCTAGTTTATTTCATGAAATAAAAGAATCAGACTTACATTATGAAGTATTTATTCTTGCAAACAGCCATCGTGCTTCGTTTTCTCCTACTATGAATAAAAGATTGTTTTCGTTTGATCTTGTGCATTCAGATGTCTGAGGGCCTTCGCCTGTTACTACCGTTTCAAGGGTTAAGTGGTTTGTAATGTTTGTGGATGATTGCACTCGTATGACATGGATATATGTGTTTAAAAATAAAAGTGGTGTTAGTATGATTATTCGGTTTTTCTCCCAGTTGGTTGCTAAATAATATTCCTCCGTTATAAAGGTTCTCTGCTTTGATTACAAAGGTGAATATGTTAATTCTGAGCCATCTTCTTTTTTCCGTGGTCAAGGAATTCTCCATGAGACAATGTGTCCTCATACCCCATAACAAAATGGGGTTGTTGAGAGAAAGAATCGTCATATTTTGGAACCACTCGTGCATTGCTTATTGGTGTGTCAGTACCTAAGCATTTTTGGCCTGAAGCTGTCACATATGCAATGTATGTAAACAATCGAATGCCATCTCGGGTTGTTGACTTCCATACCCCATTCCAAGTATTGACGGAACATGTTCCTGTTGTATCCACCAATACTCTGACTCCTTAGGTGTTTTGGTGTGTTGCTTATGTTTATATTCACAAGATTCATTGTAGTAAATTAGATCCCTGTGCTCTTAGGTGTGATTTGTTGGGTATGTATCCCAACAAAAAGGTTATAAATGCTACCACTCTGAAACCCGACACATGTATGTGACAATGGACGTTACTTTTTCTGAAACAAAATATTTTTATACTCCGGTGTTATCACCTTCAAATCACAAGGGGTAGAATGCTAGTATTTATGATCTTGATGGTGATTTTAGATGGTTGGATGTGTAAGAAGTCATGATAAGTGCTTCAGGGGGAATGAACCGTGACAACCCCATGCAAACTGGTGCAACAATGCCTAGGTCCATACTCGCTGAGACTGTTGTAGGTCTTCGGCTGTCGTCTGCCGAGAATAGTGCAGCGTGTCAGCAAAGCCTTGCCGAGGAAGAGCGCTAACATTCAGCCAGCTTCTGTCGAAGAAGAAACAGCACCACAGCAGGTTGCTGCCGAGCCTAGTACTACCGAGACTCTTGCCGAGCCTGTTTCCCCTCTCTCTCTAGCTCAATCGTGCCATCGTCCAATACGTCTTCTTTGAATATCCTTGAGGTAAGTACCACTGATGCTCATGTAACTAATGATGTTATGAATACGTACAAGTTGCCACCACAGCAAAACCGTGTTGTAACTCCTGACAGGTTTGCGAAGGAAAAGTGAGGTATCCAATAGCCAACTATGTGTCATGTAAAATTTTTCACCAGAACGCCAAGCTTGGGTGAATAACGTGGAGTCAATTCAAATACCAACTCGAGTGGATGATGCTTTGAAGGATCGAAAATGGGCTGAGGCAATGGATGAACAGATGATGGCACTACATAAAAATAATACATGGCAAGCAATGGAACTATCGAAGGGAAAAAGCACCAGTTGGACGTGCTGATAGGTTTTTACTGTTAAATACAAGGCTGACGAATGACTAGACAGGTAAAAACATAGTAGGCAATTCGTTTTCCAAACACTCTAAATCACTGCTCATTTGTGGAACTAATTGACTGTAATTATGGGGTTGTAGTATTTAAAGTACAGGGTGTCCACGTGTGCAGCTGAATATCTCTGCGTTTGAAAATTTCTACTGGAATTTGATCGACTTCAAGTATTTACACGTATTCTTCTTTTTGATTTGCCATGGTGTCTCTACTGAATTAGAAATTTCAGATGTGTGTATTTCTTCCTTAACATTATCTAGTCATTCTAAAATTTGATAAAAAAACACTAGTCTTTTGACCTTGGATGGTAGCTGTTCATCTCAAAAGCTTTAATGAGAAGATACCGGATAGTATATAATATATATGCGTAAGCGTTCCTAGAAACTGATGAGAAGTGGTTTTGTTAATTAGGTGGGTACAGTCGTCCTCATTTGTGCCTTCTTGTATGAAATCTTTTGGGTGTTTGTTTCTAAGAAATCGTTCCATGAAAGCGTGATGATTGTGGTAAGTGATCCATACATGTTTCTCTACTTGCTTCATTTAAGGCCCCTATGATATAAACATTTCATTTTTGAAGGATTTGAAATGCCTGAGAGTCATTTTAACGGCTTGGTCTCCCTTTTACGGTAGCTCGTGGCGACAAAAGTGGAGAGGATGGTATTCCAATGCTACTAAAGATCCCACGCATGTTCGACCCATGGGGTGGTTTCAGTATCATAGGATTTGGTGACATCCTATTACCAGGCCTGCTTATAGCATTCTCGCTCAGGTTTAATCCCTAAGTCCTATCCCCAATTGCAAAAGGACTTGTTAGCAACATTTCTCCATGTGTCAAATCTTTGCGCTGTTTATATGCAGTGGAATAGATAAATTTTAGACTATTAATGGTTTTTCCAGGTATGATTGGTTGGCAAATAAGACTTTCCATGCTGGATACTTCATTTGGGCAATGATTGCTTATGGATTAGGTAAAGATATAATAAAGAGAGCATTTTTCGACAGCTACTCTTAAGGTTTCAGATGTGTTTCCCAGAAGAAAAACATGATGTTTCACATTTTTTGGCAGGTCTTCTCATCACTTATGTGGCATTAAACTTGATGGATGGGCATGGCCAACCAGCACTTCTTTACATTGTTCCATTTACACTTGGTAAATCCCTTTCTTTATCGTTCACCATAAACATAGTCCAATGTCACTCTGCCATTTTAAGTATATAAACACATGAATAAAGCCCAAGGGCATCACACGTGCGATAAGTTTTGTGTTATCAAGTGATCAAGAACCAGTCCGGATACTCTATTTTCGTATAATATCACGATGCTAGATGGTGCAGTTCTAAGTTAAACTGATCAAAATTTACACTCCAATGCAAACACTTTGCTGACATTAGGTAGGAAAAGAGGTGGCTTACAGATTCTGTGGTCTAGAGGAGAACTGGAATGGCCCTGCCCTCATATCGAGCTTGAAGGCAGTCATGAAGTGAACGAATAAAAGTAATTAGAAACCATTTTCTTGTATGATATTTTAGTGTTGGCATTGTATAATTACTAGAAATCTGGTAAAGGTCCGACAAGATCTCCGCTTAATTTGGTAATCTTGTATGTAAGTTTATTGCTCTTTAAATTGAACGAGGGTGCTCTCTTAATTCTAATCGCGTTCATTTGGCATTGTCGATTGTCAACTTGATGAATGGTAAAACAAGATGGATAGCAATTTTGCAAAGCATTATTGACATAAGCAAGAACATATAGAAACTTTGAAATCATATGTACTTCAACCAAGCAACAACAGAAGTACAAAAGACATATAAAGGGTACAAACGACGATAAGTATTAGAGTTCATCATGAACGTGACGATGTCCAGCGGTTTCATTGCACTGCCGGTCAAGGGTTGGCACCTGTCTCGCATAGAGGAGCATCGCGATACCCCGCCGCTGAACCATGTCTGCTTCAACGCTGTCAACTACGAAGGGACGATTGTTGACAGTTGTGAGCTGAATAGGCCTATTGAAGCGGTTTCCATTGACCGGTACATTCTGAATAGGCCTATTGAAGCGGTTGTTAACCTTAATCTAGCTACAAGATTCAGTTACTTAAACCACAACCAAGTAGATGCAAAATATCAATCCAAATAAAACCTAATTATACTAACCTGAAGAACTCCCGTTTGATGCAGTCATGGTGGATCTCGACCAACCTGAATAGCACAGCAATTCTTCTTCTCTCTGTCAGGGTATTTATCACTCAAACTAAGAATAGGGCTTAGTTCCAAAAAGAGCACACCCTGTGAGTGAAGAACACCATATATATATACATACATATCCTTCTCATATTAGAATATGGATTCCCTATTAAAATCCTTATGGAAAACTACTTAAGTTTTCCTAATTCAAATCAATTTATCACTGTAACAGAAACCTTCACTGACAAAAACTGATATCCATCTTCTTAGAGGCTTTCTTATTCGGATTGGACTCAAACAACTAATATCAGATCATCTTATCTCATGTTCACATTCTTACATTCTCCCACTTGAACAGGAGACAAAGATCAAACATAGCCGTCACCAAACATAAGAAGTGATCACATAACCTCATCTAAGATTTAACCATCATGACCACTGTCCCATTACATCTCAAAACATAGAAACCAAGAATCTCAGACCACAACCAAATTGTAGTATTAATTCAAGGCTCACATATATCCAATTTGCAAATATGACTCATGACTAATATAAACCGTCAAACATTATGCTCCCACTTTTCAAAAGATCACAACACACATTAATCTTCACAGAAAAGCAACATAGTAATTGACTATATATAAGATCATTAACCACAAACTTTAAAACAGACAAACTGTTCTTCCAAAGTTACTAATGAAACTGAATTCTAACTCAGTCGAGTATCTGTACTTCAACACTTTGAAAGCCAAAGCATCGAGTAGCAGACAAAGACACTTATTAAAACACAAACAAACTCAACAAACTAGCTAAAGCAAGTTAAAACATAATTATCCTCAGCTTGTCAGAATTGCACTTACAGTTCTTGAAACATATATACTTTTGCAATCCCAAGCCCCTAACACACTCGTGATCACTCCCACTGATCAAAACCCTCTAGTACTCCCATTGAAGAAACATGTTTCTTGAATTCTCCAATCGACAGTGCCTTAGTCAAAGGATCAGCAATCATCATAGTGGTGCTAATATGCTGTACTTCAATAACTCTTTTCTTGACTTGTTCTCTGACCTTAAGAAACTTCACATCCATCAATCTAGATGCTGAAGTCCTTTTGTTATTCTTAGCAAAAAACACAGCCGAGTTGTTATCACAGAACATCTTTACCGGTTTTTGAACCGAATTCACAATCTTCAAGTCTGTCAAAAAATTCTTCAACCATGCTGCCTGTTTCATGCCTTCAAAACAGGCTACAAACTCAACTTCCATAGTTGATGTAGCTATAACAGTTTGCTTTGCACTTTTCCACGAAACTGCCCCTCCATTGAGTATGAAGATATAACCCCCTGTGGACTTTCTGTCATCCACATCACCAGCTAAATCCGAGTCTGTATACCCCATAAGCTCCAAAGAATTGGTTCTGCCATATACTAACATGTGAGTTTTGGTTCTCTGTAAGTATCGCAGGACCTTCTTGGCTGCCACCCAATGTGCTTCTCCAGGATTTTCTTGAAATCGTCCCAGCATACCAACTATGAAAGCAATATCAGGCCTTGTACAGATAGTTGCATACATGAGACTTCCAATCAATGAGGCATAAGGCTTAGCTTGCATTTTCTTCACCTCCAAATCAGATCTTGGACATTGAATCTTCGAAAACTTGTCACCTTTATTGACTAGAACCTGACCACTATTGCAACTTTCCATATGAAATTTCTCCAGCATTCTTTCAATATACCCCTTTTGTGATAAACCAATGAGCCTCATTTTCCTATCTCGAACAATCTCTATTCCCAGTACATAATGTGCTTCTCCAAGATCTTTCATCTCAAAGTTGTCACTTAGCATTCTCTTAGTACTTTGAAGCAAATGAGAACATGAACTAGCAAGGAGAATGTCATCAACATAAAGCACTAAGAAAATGAACTTGGAACCTGAGAACTTAATGTATGTACAATCATCTAGTTTGTTTTCTACAAAACCTTGTGCAGAGACAATTTGATCAAACTTTAGGTACCACTGCCTTGATGCCTGTTTCAAGCCGTATATTGACTTATTGAGCTTGCATACCAAATTCTCCTTCCCCCTTTCAACAAATCCAACAGGTTGTTTCATGTAGATATCCTCTTGGAGGTCTCCATTGAGAAAAGCTGTTTTGACATCCATTTGATGTAATTCAAGATCGAAGTAGGCAGCTAAAGACATTATAACTCGCATGGAATCTTTAGAGGAAACCGGAGAGAAAGTATCATTGTAGTCGATTCCTTCTCTTTGAGTAAACCCCTTAGCAACCAACCTTGCTTTATATCGTTCAATTCTTCCATTAGCATCCCTTTTAGTTTTATATACCTACTTGCAGCCTATTGGCCTAATTTCAGAGTTTGATTCCACCAATGTCCAAACCTGGTTCTTGAACATTGAATCTAACTCATCCTTCATTGCATTGTTCCAAAGAACTGCTTGAGGACTTTCAATTGCCTGAGTATATGAAAGAGGATCATCAATGTCACCGATATCGAACTCAGTCTCTTGCAAGTACACATAGTCATTGATTGCCGTGGTTTTCCGAGCTTTTGTAGATCTTCTGATTTCATCTGGAGATGGAACACTAACTGATGCACGTATTTCTGCAAAAGGAATTGTTGCAGCTTGTGTTGTGTAATCAACTCCTACAGAGTTGTCATCAGGAACTCCCAAATCTGCACTTATATCTTCAATGGCAGTGGATGATTGATTGGGAAACAATGGGACCTGATTATAATCCATTGTCACATGGTCCCCACCATCTGCATTCATCTCTTCAAATATGAAATTTTCCCTTGACAAATGAGAGACATCTTCATCTTCCAGGAAAACTGCATTGTGTGTCTCTTGAATCCGAGTGTGTCCTTGAGGAACATAGAATCTGAATCCTTTTGATTTTTCAGGATAGCCAATGAAATAGCAAGATTGAGTTTTGGGATCCAACTTTCTTTCATCAGGATTATAGAATCTTGCTTCAGATTTACAGCCCCAAACATGAAAGTAATCAAAATTAGGTGCCCTCCCATGCCATAGCTCAAATGGTGTCGAGGGAACGGATTTGCTGGGAACTCTATTCATAATGTAATTTGCAGTTTTCAAAGCTTCCCCCCACAAGAAACCAGGTAATTTGGATCTTGTCATCATGCTTCTAACCATACCAATGAGAGTCCGATTCCTCTTTTCTGAAACACCATTTTGCTGAGGTGTCCCTGGTGTTGTATATTGAGCTATAATTCCATTGTGCTCCAAATAAAGTGCAAACGGTCCCTTTTGCTGCCCTAATTCAGTGTACCTGCCAAAGTATTCACCTCCCCTATCTGATCTAACAATTTTAATAACCTTGCCTAATTGTTTTTCAACCTTAGTTTTGTAAATTATAAAACACTTAAGGGCATCAGCTTTCTCACTAATAAGAAAGGTATATCCCAGCCTTGAAAAATCATCTATGAAATTAATGAAATACTTGTTTCCACATATTGTCTTAACTGGAAAATGACCACAGATATCAGTGTGTATGATTTCAAGTAATCCCTGACTCCTTTTGGCATCTGTTTTTCGAAAGTTAGTCATCTTACCCTTTAGGCAGTCAACACATTCAGTTGTAGTAGAAAGATCTAATTTTGGAATCAATTCAGTTTTTGACAGCTTAATTAATCTTTCTTTAGAGATGTGTCCTAGTCTTTTGTGCCATAAAATGTATGAAGTGTCCTGGCCTATCATTCTCTTAGCACTAATGCTGAAAATCGTGTGATTGAGGGCCTTAACAGGGCAATTAAGATTCCATAAATTATCAGACAAAAGGGCAGTCCCTAAAATAGTGTTATGACAGTTTTTCTTGAAAATTTTTAGGCACTCATCATCACCAAGAAAGGAAAAACGATCTTTTACAATTTTAGAGGCAGAAATTAAGTTCCTTCTCATCTTAGGCACATATAGCACATCTTTCAACTCTAAAACAAAACCAAAACATAAGACTAATTTTACTATCCCAACTGACTCTACTGCAACTTTAG